GTGTCACCCCCTCCACCTCCTTGTGGTTAATGGGAAGTTCTTCTCGGCATTTTCTTTCATTTCTGAGTCAGTCTCCTCACCAGCGCATCAATCCTTTCCCTTTGGCCTGGACAAGCTTCTCTGAGCACATCCTTTCCTCCTTACAGCTCCTTGAATTCTCAATACCCACCATTCAAAGTAGAAATAATGCCTGGGTATCTGCACTTTACCCAAAGAAAAACGGCTTTAGTTGTCTTTCAACATGTTAATATCTGACATAATGAAGTCATTTTAGAAAAGCAGGGGCCGGGGTGCGGGGTGCGGGGGGTGGCTAGCTGATTTGGCTCAGTGGACAGAGTGTCAGGCCTGCAGACTGAAGGGTCCCAGGTTTGATTCCAGGCAAGGGCACATGCCCAGGTTGTGGGCTCAATCCCCGTAGGGGGCGTGCAGGAGGCAGCCAATAAGTGATTCTCTCTCATCATTGATGTTTCTGTCTCTCTCTCCCTCTGCCTTCCTCTCTGAATTCAAAAAAAATTTTTATTTTTTTTTAAAGCTGGGGGCACTAGGTCATAGAGAATAGTTTTCTTCTAGACTATGGAGGACTCTGGTGGTGGGAGGGATAGGAATGATTTAAGAATGAAAAATGAGAGTTCCCAGGGGACAGTAGCCATGCTGGTTTTATTTGTGATAACAATCAACTTTTTGTTTCATCTTTGTTGAATACTATTAACTCCATACTTTTCTCTAAATTCAAGGAAAAACAAACTTAAAGGGGAAAATACCATTTCTTTTCTACTGAGAATCACCTATTTTGAAGCTATTAATGCCAGAAGCATCACTCTAGTTGTTCACTCACCTCATCCCGTATGAGATGCCATTGAAATTCTGGTTTCGGAGGTGAGGACACTGAAGGGTAGAAGTGAGAGTTTGGGGTCAGAGTTGGGGTTTCTGACACAGGCAGTAGACCTCAACTTAAGGAAAAACATGTCAGTAGCTACTACATGCTTGACAGGATGCTTTTTTACAATGTCAGGATGCGTTTATCTTTTTATCAGCAATTACAGTGGCGGGAAACACAACTTGGGAAGTAAGAACAAGAGGGTCTGGCCTAGCCAGTGTGGCTCAGTGGATAGAGTGTAGTCCCGCAGACTGAAGGGTCCCCAGTTTGATTCTGGTCAAGGATCCCTGGCTCTGGTTGGGGCTCGTGGGGGAGGCAACCAATCAATGTGTCTCTCTCACATCGGCTTTTTTTCTCTCCCTGTCTCTACCCCACCCTTCCACTCTCTAAAAATCAATGGGAAAAATATCCTCTGGTAAGGATTTAAAAATAATAATAATAATAATAATAATAATAGGGTCTGCTATTTAAACATAACTCTGAAGCTCTATTTTTTAAAATATATTATTGACTTCAGAGAAGAAGGGAGAGGGAAAGAAACATAGAAACATCAATAATGGGAATCATTGATCAGCTGCCTGCTACATGCCTGTACTGGGGATTGAGCCTACAACCTGGGCATCTGCCCTGACTGGGAATTGAACCATAAACTCCTGGTTAATAGGTCGACGCCCAACCACTAAACCACATCAGCTGGGCAACTTTGAAGTTCTAAATCTTTGATTTTGTTATTTATGAAATAAAAATAACAATATCTACTTCACACTTTCAATGATTAGATGAGTTAATACACACGCGAATGTTTTCTATAGAGTTCTACTTATTCTTGAACACTGTTACCCCCCAAAGATATAATTATCAAAGGTATGACTATACTGTTTTTTGTTAATACAGTAGGAACAATATTTTAAAATTCTATCAGATGAGTTTCAGTAACAGTATTAGAAATATCTGCTTTACCTCATTTTAACCATGTTTTTGAATGCCTGTTTTAAATATTAAAATTCACCATCTAAATAAACACCAATCTTGAAATACTTATTTTTCAGTTTCCTTGTTGAAAAATAATAGCAAATAACTTCTTGCAGAAGGCAGTAAGTAGTACTATTTACTCACAGTGATTGTAATTTTTGTATTTGCCTTAATACATAACAGATGTGCAAAGCCATGGATTTGTTCCACCCCAACTCCAAATGCTCGATACAACATATGGCACTGAATCTGTATGTGACACAGGAAAGTATTTGTGTGTCCATGAAGAGGATCCAACTTTGCTATTATTTTTATTAGTTTATTCAGCGTGTATCTAACATTTTGTTGTTATTTGGCTAGGAAGAGTCAAATTCTAAAAAAGGAACATAATTTTCCAAAGAAAATTTAAATTAACTTTATAGATCTCAAGGTTACTAACAAGGATGCATATATATTAAAATTCTAGTGGCTTTGAAATTTGGTACCTGCCAGAAAAGCCTGTAGAGAGGACTAATTAGAGATGTATTTATTTTATATTATATGACAATTACAGAGTAGAAAATGTTCTGCCAGGTTAGAAATGTGATCGTCACGATAAAAATCATGTTGTCTCCCAAAAGAGGCCTGCACATAATTTATTAAGTTATTGCAACTATCAAACTGTAAAATCCAATGCACTTTACTAGGCTTTAAAATAACTGACAAAGCTTCATGTAGGTGAGCAAAATCAAGCATTGCCTGTATAGATCATTAAAATGGAAGGTGGCAAAGAACAAACAAAACAAACCCACTGCTGAATCTAAGAATCTGGTCCTCTTTTGCTTATAAATATCATAATTGTATATGTATTGAGCATAAATTATTTCAAACTCTACACAAAAATTATCACATCCACCCCCCCGCCCCCCCCAAACAAACAAACAAACTGCAGGGGCTGGAAACTGACTTCATTGTACATCAAAATATTTAATCACATAACATTCACCATAATATGCTTTGGAAGAGTTGATGGCATTTTGTGGATTTGAGAAACCATTCCTTTCGGTCTCCTGCAGTCAATTTTTGCCCTTCTTTCCATCGCTAACATGAAAAAGGCCTGGGTAAAACAGGCCTCGGTCCTTGCGGCTCAAGTTGCATGAATCTCCGGGGGAGAGATCCCGAGATGCAGTTAGTTCTCCATGTGGCACCGCACTCCTGCTCTGGGACACCCACGCTCACCTTCTCAAGGCTCGAGGAAGAGACGACCCTGCCTTAGGCACCTGAGAATAAAGCCCGAATGGCAGAAGGCAGAATTGTCGGAAAGCAACCACCGGGCGGCACAAAGAACCGCAGGGAACTTCCTTCCACGAGTGAGGAAGGTGCTGGGGTGCGGGGTCTGTCATAAGACAAGGATGTCCTATTACCTCTAAAACAGAACTTAGATGAGTCATTGTTTAGCACTTCGGGAATAAATCTCATTCTTGCATGATTGTCCTCGAAGAAGGAAACACAGCACCATTTGCTTCCAAAGTGTTTTATTTTCAGTATATCATAGCTTGGAAATTTGGTTCTACTAATATCAAACATAAAAATGGGAGGGAATGAGAATTTCCAAAGATTGGCACGGGCTCTAAAGAATCACACCGAAGGAAGTAAAAGCATCACTTGTCCCCGTCCCCCCCCCCCCCCCCCCATGGTCCTTGGAGATCGCACTGCAGTTTGGGTAACGAGAAAGTGTACTTGTTTCAAAATCAGAGTATTTGGTTCAAAAGTCAGAGTAGCCTCTCTCCTGAAAACCTTAATTCCTTTTTTTCCCCCCATGACCTTTTACTTTTATTTACTGAAGTGTTCTACAACTTCTTAGTCAACTTTGAAATTTTTTACTTGGCTGGGCAATCTTGAATTTCCTTTAGGTTACAAAATAGATTTGCATATAGTACCCTCTTCTAATTGTTTTCAACTTTTTTCATAATTCCTTTTATTAGACCTCTTTTACTGAGCATTAGGCAGCACAAACCCAAATGATAAAGTACAGGCCAGTGCATAGGCCTGTAATTCAGTCCGGCTGAATGTGAGTGTGCAGACACACACAACCCTTGCACAATTTACCATCCTGCAAACTACAGCATTTTATAGAGCTCCGTACCTTTTAAAAACAACACATACATACATACGTTCTTTTCTCGGTCAATGCAGCAAGTCATTTTTAAAGGAAGTAGAAAAAAAAGACTCACGCCAATGGGTTTGTTTAAAATTAAGCAGAGCTATGCTGATAACAGATGTCTAGTTGTAATTCACTTCCCTAAGGCTGTCGAATATATGTATTCATAAACAAATCAAATGAATTGCCAAGAGATAAATGCTACTGTTAACACCCCATCAGCTACTGGTTTCAGTTGTGCTTCTCAATCAGGCAAAATGTTCTTTCCCCAACTCCTCTATTTATTTTGCTTCCTGCCAATCTTGCAAATAATTCGTCTTGTGTGTCTTTTCCTCATAAATGCTTCCTGCAGCTTGATTGCTTTGCCTATGCAGCATTTTATTTCAAACTGCTATTTTACCTTTGTAAACATGTAGGACTTTCTAAGCTTGAGGAGAATGCCCAAAAGGCATGCAAACACCAGACTGTAATTAGATCAGCTGAGTCTATTGGACAGCTTATTTAGCTTTCTCTCTTTGTATCCAATGTTGCATTCCCAGTCTCGGTGCAGAGCAGTAAATGAACATTTACTCCAGCAAAGAGGCCCTGGTATCCACATGTTTAATTTATTATTATTGCAAAGAACAGTTTTCCCATGACTAGTGAAATAGAATACATATCATATATTTAAGGATCTGTACCCAGACCACAAAAAACGGGGGTGGGAAGGAGGAAAGAGAAAAGCAGAAAACAAAAGAGAAAATAGAAGTAATATCAGTTACCACATGAGTTTTTGTGGTAAAAAATAGAATATGACGTGCAATAGTGCAATTTTCCTTTGCTAGTCCAGCAATGCAAGTCTTCATAGGAAGTCCACCAGCGTTCTTTCCGCGTTTCAGGATTTAGTTGCGTGCTTGCCGGGGGTTGGAGTTCCTGCCAGACTTCTGACTCTGCGTGGAATCACTATGGCTAGAATCACTTTTATTCAGTCCAAGGTGACGGAGCTTCATATCCCAGCGCTGTGAGATTTAAAACAGAAAGTGGTCGCGTGCGCATGTTACCAGGGTTGTCACTTCTGATTCTCACAACTGAGTAAGACTGCAAAGTCAGGTCTCAAAAGCATTTTACTACTTTCCAAAAGTATAAGCTCTATGTCCCAGGATAACAATGAAATTGATGCTGTATGAACATAATTCTCAGATTTTAAAAAGCACAAACTTGGCTACCTAGACCAATAATGCTTTCATATCAAACCTTAAGCTTAAAACTTCCACGTCAGTAAATGGTGACACAAATCTGTTGCTACCTGTGAAATTTCCTGAAATAAAAAAATACAAGTCTGGCCCTTTCCAGGTGGTCAGCAAATGGAAGCTTTACATAGACAATTTGAAGGAAGAGCTATTTTTCATCTTCCTCTCTTCTAACATAAAAGGACGGATAGCCCTTTTAAAATCCATGTGATCTGAGCAATGAAAGAAAAAGAAAATTTAGGTTGGGAATAGGGTCTCTTAAAAATAGTTTTCTAAGTAGTACCTACCAAGGGCAAGTTTCTGCCCTCATTCTCAGTTTTACAAAGCAGTCATTACCAACCTTTTTAATAACCACAAACAAGTTTACTAATGCTTCAGATGAACAATGTGATGAGGTTTACATGGAATATAATGAATTAAAAGGGAGTTACATTATGAATATTATAAGCAGTAACAAAGAATAAAGACTATAGCAATACTTCTCAAATTTCAATGAATAGAGAAATAACCTGTAGATCTTGATAAATTGCAGGTCAGATTCTCATTCAGTGGGCCTGCAATGGGGCCTAAGATTTTCATATTTAACAAGCTCCCAAGTGATGCCAACATTGCTGGTCCAGGGACCACACTTTGAGTAGCAAGGAGTGAATATCAAATTCTAACTCCATCGGTTACCATGCAAAGTTTCTTAAACTTACTCCACCTCCCTTTCATCAACAACACATTGAAATTAATAATAGAATCTGCTTATAAGACTGTTCTGAAGAATAATAGATGATAAATGTATAAAGTGCTTAGTTCATAATAAATTATCATTTTTCAATTACCAAAAGTAATTCATTTTAGACACTTTCTTCCACAGTCTTATTGTTTTTCATATTAAAAAACAGTCTGGCCGAAACCGGTTTGGCTCAGTGGATAGAGCGTCGGCGGACTGAAAGGTCCCAGGTTCGATTCCGGTCAAGGGCATGTACCTGGGTTGCAGGCACATCCCCAGTGGGAGATGTGCAGGAGGCAGCTGATCGATGTTTCTCTCTCATCGATGTTTCTAACTCTCTATCCCTGTCCCTTCCTCTCTGTAAAAAATCAATAAAATATATTAAAAATAAATAAATAAATAAATAAATAAATAAAGCAGTCTGATTCTCGGTTCTCCAAGGCAGGGCAAATATCTTAATTTGAACAACCTACTATAACAGAGACTTAAATAAACAACCACTTGCATGGAAAAACATAAAAAGGTTTTTATTTAATTCTTGATCTAGCTACTGAAAGCAAAAAAAATCAGTTAAATGAGCAACTCTTATATTAAAACACACACACACACACACACACACACACACACAATAGTGTCTTCCACAAAACTATTTTTCCCATCCTCAAATTAACTGGAAAACTAAAGATCTCAATTATTCTTTTTTATAATGAAAGATTATTTTTCCTTCCCTCCCATCACTATTTATTCCCTCTGCGCCCTCTAATAATTCTAATCAAAAGAGATTTTTCCAGCCCAGCCGGTGTGGTTCAGTGATTGAGCATTGACCTATGAACCAGGAGGTCATGGTTCGAGTCTTAATCAGGGTACATGCATGAGTTGCGGGCTCAATCCCCAGTGTGGGGCCTGTAGGAGATAGCCAATCAATAATTCTCTCTCTTCATTAAAATTTCTATCTCTCTCTCCCTCTCCCTTCCTCTCTGAAATCAATAAAAACATACATATTTTGTAAAGGTTTTTCCACAATCAAGTTTACTAATAACCAAGGACTTTAGTCCTAAGTAGCTACATATGAATTAAATTGTTGAGCATATGTAAACCTAGACTAAGAATACAAATAATTTCACAATAAAAACTCTGTGTGAGTCCCCTATAGAAAGCAATAGGAAATATGTTTGCCTTACTAAGCAACAGGACAAACATGCATCCTGGGTCTTTACATGATGATAACTGTTTTGGTACCAGGGATGTTAAAGCTCTTCCATCTGGTACAGGAATTTAGGACACATTCCTGTTCTGCATTAGCAAGCAGAAAACCAAATTAAAAGGACAGTAGAGATTCCAAATACTGAAGAAGAGCCACTTTTTAATGAACACCAAACTAATTGAAAAGAGATACAAACAGAGAATTCTCACAAGTCTAAACTTGAAGTATATCTCACTTTTGACAAATATCGGGGGTAGGGGGGGAGTAGAGCTTACTGGAGGGCAGTTTCTCCCTGCAAAATAATACCCTCTACATTTTTGTAGGTCACTTGAACTCGAATGTTTCTGCTGCGCCGAGTGCCAGATGTATAAGGTAAACTGCCCAGGGGTTCTTTAACTTACCCTGTAAATGTTTCCCAACCCTTCAGACTCACAGAAGGAAGAGGATGTATTATGTTTGGTATAATTTCCACTCTCCCCACCCCCACCCCACCCACTACACACACACACCATTTTCAATTCTTTGCCCCTCTATATATTCTCCCATGTTCTTTGACACTGATTTGCTTAGTATAGTAAGAAGAAATGGAAGCTTTTATTTAAAAGGTAATTTACAGTGCTTTTTAAAAAATGCAACACTTCCAGAATTTAAGGTTCACTGGCTCAGAAATAAAGCTACATGACTGCTCTACGGAGCTTATATGTACAGATGAATGTGGCTTCTTCACCTTGTACATAGGAAATGGTGGCACTGAGACAATATTGGTAGTTTCCTACTCATTCTTTCTTCTCTTCTGTGACTCAAAGAACTGCAATTTGTTCAAGGACACAATATGCCCAGCTAAACAAAACTATAGTTCCCAGCCTCTCTTGCAATTAAGGACGGACATGAGACCCAGTCGTATATAAATGTTGCTAGATGCAGCACTTGGAAACTCCTTTTTACCTCTCTTTTCTTTCTCCCTAAAATGTGTGATGCTGGAGGTGGGGCAGCTCTCTTGTGACCTCCAGGTGAACATGAGTATGGGAGGAATATCCTTAAAAATGGCAGAGCAGGAAGCTGGAAGGAACCTGGGGCTCTAAAAATAATGTGGAGTCACCCTACCAGACTGGACTAACTACAACTAGAATTCGCATTGTGAGAAGTTAGGCAACTATAGTTACATTTCTCATATGCATACAGAGAACTTCCTAAATGAAATCAATATTAAAAGCAAGCTCAGTCTTTGGAATTTTAAATATATATACATATATCAGATTTTAATATTTCTCATGGAGTTGAGCACAGCCACTTCGTTTGTGACAAATGGCTGGTTTTCTGTGTATCACTTTAAACATAAAACAGAGGCTTACCTTAACTTTTTTACCCAGTCGATCCTTCCATTTTTCAGCAATAGAACCCTCCACCAACAGTAATCTGCATTTTTTAAAGCAAGCACATTTGAAAATTAAAACATACTACTGAAAATTACAAGGAACCATTGCAAAGACTTACCTGCTTATTGTAGAATAGAATGACCATGTTTTAGAACAGTAATTTTTTTTAGAATAGTAATTTCTTTTTCATCTTTATTGTTGAAAGTATTACAGATGTCCCCTAGTTATCCCCACTGACACCTTCTAGCCCTCACCTGCCCCTCCTTCCCAGGTCTTTACCACAATATTGTCTGTGTCCATGGGTTATGCATATATGCATACAAGTTCTTTGGTTAATCTCTTCCCACCCACCCACCGCCCCCCACCTTCCCTCTGAGATTCTAGTCTTATAACAGTAATTCTTAACCATTTGGGAGCCATGGATCCCTTTAAGAACAAATGAAATGATGACCCCTCTCCCCAGAAAAATGCACACCCACAAATTATACACATATACCCTACCCCGTACTTGCAATTGAGTGGCCCAACTAAAAACTATCTGTAATCCCCTAGTGGGCACACAGATCCCAGGTTAAAAATCCCAGAGTAAGATCTCTAGAGAAGGACAGTAGGATAGGATAGGCAGAGAAATTGTTCTGAATCCTTAACCCTTTGCGGTCCAATGTTATTTTTGGAATTCTAACAGTCTGGTCCAAATTAATTGACGGGATTGAATGTTGAACTTTTTAATGTTCTTATTGCTCGACTTTGGACCTGCTCCTAGCGCCTGGTCTGTCGAGTCAGCCTCGAGGTTGGACCAAAAAGGGTTAAGGAGCGGATTACCTGGAGCGCTCCTCATCTTCATAGCCCATGATGATATACTCCTCATTAACATGCAGTGGAGGACACAGGCAGCCAGAGCTGGTGTACAGGTTAACCGTGTCCCTTGGAATGTTCACCAGAGAAGACTTCAGGATCTCCTTCACCTCGACCACCGCAGTCACGTCATGGCACTTGGTCTTGACCTCTTTAACTTTAGCCCGAATGACTGGGTAAAAGACAATGAAGCTGATATGGTCATGTGATCCACAATAGGTGCCACCTTCAAAAAGGACAAGTAGGCTCCTGTCTAGTCAGTTCTTCTCTACTTGATGCTCAATGAATGGAGAGGAAAAGTCAGCCAGATTTCTGTCCTAGATGTTAGTGAGTGACACACTGCACAGCACACCTGTCCCCTTAATGTTCAGCCCTGATCGCCTTCCAATTAGTGTACAAATATAGTTGTGTGTGTGTGTATTTCATTGAGAACAATGCATCTATATAATCAAAGGTCGGGTCAATCTGAAGTAATTTTCCTCCAAAATTTCATTTGGAGGTGTGAATATGGTGTCCGCAGTTTCCACTGCTGCCAACAGGAACTTAAACTTTATTGATTTCACTATATGTAAAGACCTAGTACTTAAATAAGCTTCGTTTCCTTGTCAGTATTATTTTATCGGGTCTATTAATGGATTCTCTAAAGAGTTGGGGGTCTCATTAGTGTTATAAAGATGTCCTGTTCTGCTGTGTTTCCAAACTGTTTCTGTGACCTTTTCACCTTCCTCACTTTAGCTCCCTGTTTAGACACCAGTGCCTTTTTCCTTTTGTTTCAGTACAGATTTTCTTTTATACGCTCCTGTAAGCATTCGACTTTTTTTTTTTAGTAAAAACAGTCACCACTAGATCTTGCTTCCTCCATCCTCTTTGAAATCAGACCCTCCAACATTCCTTCCCCTATGTGCTATGGAATACAGTCTAACATGTCAATTGCATTCACCTACCTCTCTCAATGGATATACTGACACCCAGTTTATCTCACAAGCGCTGGCTTCACTGCCCAATATACAGACAAACTGCCTTAAAATAATCAATTCAGTGGCAAAGTTGAAGTATTTGACTCATAATCTAGCAAGTACAGATCTGCTTCTTTTCTGTATTTCTCCTCTTTGGAGGGGCCAAATTCTTTAGATTCCTACTTGTGGTAAAGGAGCTCTTTTTTTTTTTCTTAAAGGGGGAGTTTGAAAAAGCCAAGAAGTAAAAAATGTCAATTTGTAAGAAGCCAATGGCTCTCTCCCAGGCACCCTCATTGCTCTAGCTCAATATCCATGGATATTACATGGAGAAAAATATGTGTCCAAATGAATCCCCTTTTTAAAAGCCCCTTAGGCACATATCAGCAGATCACTTTCATCTGAGTCACCACATATTTTAGAAGTTTTGGGCTCAAAAAAAAAAAAAGGGAAAAAAGTAACCCATGAAAATTAGCCAACTAATAGCTGCATCCATGCCCCAACTCCAAACAGAAACTTATCTAATTTCCCACCAGTACAATGTGCATACAATAGAAATTAAGTTACTAATTCTAAAAAATTTAGGACAAAAACCTCATTTTTGCTTCACAGGTATTTTAATTTTCAGAAAATTGGGTGCCTCAAATATGAGAACTTACAGCAAACAAAATGCAACTGCCCCTGCTTGGTGTGACTTGTGAGCAAAGGAATCCCTTTCCGTCCGTGTTCTGTTCTGTATTTTAACAAAAGATAAGATTTCCCGTTTGGAAATGTCATTTTGGAGAGTCAGATGATAAATTCACAACCCAGCCAGCAGACATTTTGGGATCCTGGTTTATGTGAATGTGCTTCGCAGCATCCATCAACTCTTAGGGATCAGTGAGCTGTGCAAACGTTCTCAGACTAATGATTTATTTACCCAGTGTGGCTACTATTTTCATTAGAAATTTTTAGCACACATACCCCCTCCAAAATAAATATCTCTCTGCAAGACTTACTTTATTATTCAGTAATTTTATGAAAGCTCAAGAAATTTTACCTGAACTAATTCTGAATGAAGCAGAGGTTTTGTCTGAGTTATCAACTGCTCCCACCCCCACTTTGTTTTCTCAACAGACACATAGATATTTATGAAAATCAATGTATTGGGGGATTTTAAACTTTTTTCAGATGTTTTTTTTTCCTGCTATTTAATCATTGGAGTGCCTGCCTTCCCCACAGAGGCTCTAAGTAAGACCCAGGCAAGTGAAAATCCTTAAACTGCAGGCAACCCGGTTATTGTTGTTTGGTTATGAGAAAGTATCTTCTTTCCACTGGTTGTAATCTGTGTCCCATTTTATGGGGCGGCATTCTTTCAGCTACCTTGTTGAAAATACTCTCTTTCCCTGACTTGCAACCACTAGTATTCTGACTTTCAACAAAAATAAAAGCGTTATGAAAGCTGAATAAAGTAAAAACTGATTAAGTAAAGCAAAATAAATACAGACTCAACTGAACTTCAAGCACCTCTCACGCGCAATTCCAGGGGGAGAGTCCCTCCCACCCAGTTGAAATGTATCTCTATACTCGGTTACATGATTCTATGATACAGCAATGCTACCTGATATGCTTCAAAATCAATGATTTGTTAAGAATTTTGCCCACATCAGACATTTTAATTATTTGGGACAGGTATCCTCTCAAAAGTTGTCCTTATTTATTTGCTTTTAAGTCTTATTCTTTATATATATTTTATTGATTTTTTACAGAGAGGAAGGGAGAGAGATAGAGAGTTAGAAATATCGATCAGCTGTCTCCTGCACATCTCCCACTGGGGATGTGCCCACAACCCAGGTACATGCCCTTGACCAGAATCGAACCTGGGAACTTTCAGTCCACAGGCCGATGCTCTATCCACTGAGCCAAACCGGTTTTGGCTTAAGTCTTATTCTTGAACTGCTCTCTCGCTCGCTCTCTCTCTCTCTCTCTCTCTCTCTCTCTCTCTCTCTCTCACACACACACACACACACACACACACACTTCTTTACACAGCAGTTTATAGATCAACCATGAAGTTATCCTTACCATAGTTGTAATTGTTTCGGAAATAGGTCTTCTGTGTAGCTCTAATAGGCTTACATTTGCAGCGTTCTGAAAAACATAACATTTTATCTGTAAGCAAAATTTCAACATTAGCTTTCATTTATTTATGCACACCTTTTTGGTTGGCTAGATTCAATTTGGTGGCGATAAGGCTCTTTAGAGATTCTATGTGGCTGATCTCTTTGTCTGGAATTACATTCATCTTCATTCTCTCTGCATAGACTTTTTTTTTTCAGTAACAGTAGACTCCGAAGTTCCTACTCTCTAACAAATTACCCAAATCCTGAGGAAACACCTTCGCCACCATGCATGAGGAGAGCATGACCCCTGAATCCTGAAAGAGGATGCTTCGTGCTTATGAAAGTAGACTCAACACCTAGTGAGAGGCAACTTCCTTCTTCTGCTCAGGTCACTGGTTTACCCCTCAGAATACCCCTGCATTCACATACGCCTTACAGGTGACACAGCACTCCTCCAAATCTTAGTTCCCGGACCGACAAGCTACTCGATGAGATAAGCAGGTATTATTACAACCTAGTGCACTTTGTGAAGTTTTTAAGAAGAGAGGCTCAGCCCCTTCATAGGCAGAATACCTGCTATTTAACTCAATGGCATCTTTACGTTTAGTGGAGGAAATTACTACATGCATATTTTGAAATGAGAAGCTTCATGTTGCTTAAATATCTTGTGAGTAGTGACCAGGACACATTTTATGTGTAATACAGGTGTATGCCATAGAAATTCTAATTATCTCAAAATGTTTCATATATAGGACAAATCATTTAACATCATGGAAATGGACTACTAAATTGTTTACAGGTTACTTAGCTGAAAAAATATATCAAATATGCATCATAACATGGTAGGTTGTTAGTCATTAAAGTCAATATAAGAAGAGAAAATAACACACAATTATTTTAGAAAACATTTTAGTTTGTGTAAAGGTTATTTTTTTAAATAGTGCTCCAGAGAAAGCTTCATTAAAAATGAAATGGTATGTGTTTCTTCTATTTTGACACAGAGAAATAAAGAAAAAAAAGAACACATGAATCATAGTAGGAAGCCAACAAAAATATTTTGTTTAAAAAGTGTTTTGTGTTAGCATTGAGACGAATAAAAGGCAGAAGCTTTTGTTGACTACGTTATGTTTTCACATCAAAATAAATTTTGATTTCAGTCGAACCTGCAGAGGACATGTTTTAAAATACCCCAGTCCCAAGGAGAGTGGAACCGTTATCACTTTTTAGATTCTGGAACTAAGCACCTCAACTGGGGGAAGGTGCTCTTCTGCAGAGCAATAGCGGCAACAACTGTTGTTCTCGCCCACAGGAGAGGTGAGAAATTTCTCATGGCTACGCATAGCACTTCCCCTGTTCTGCAGATAATTTTTCACACACAATTTCTGCAGAATAAATATTTCAAGAAAATAAATAATGGGTAATATCGGTGCTGGTTGCTATTGTAAAGAATAATAGCTTTCTTATTAGCAAAACATGTATATTCCCGTTAAAAGAAAATGGAAGTTATCTAATTCTACTGTTTAACTTTATTTTGTACAGAAATGTTACACATTTTTTTAAGGAAAGATGTTTTTGAGATGAGACTATTTCTGGAGATTTACAAATTATCCTCACCCATATATAGATAGGGCATGTGCTTTTCTGCATTTAAAGATAGATATCTAATGCCAGGACTGGTGTGGCTCAGTGATTGAACTTTGACCTATGAACCAGGAGGTCACAGTTTGATTCCAGGTCCGGGCATATTCCCGGGTTGCGGGCTCGATCCCCAGTAGGGCATAAAGGAGGCAGCCGATCAATGATTCTCTCTCATCATGGATGTTTCTATCCCTTTCTTCCTCTCCCTTCCTTTCTGAAATCAATAAAACATATTTAAAAAATAAAAACAGATATCTATCAAAAATAATGCATGTAGATAAATAACTACATATTTGTAATTCTTCAGAAATCTGCACATCTATACATATAAAAGTCTAAGCAACCATTCAACTGGTAGCTTTGACACACACTGACCACCAGGGGGCAGATGCTCAATGCACAGGCATGGAAACATGGGACAGACTGATGAATCTCAGAGGGAAGAGGGGAGGGGAGGGGAGAGGGCGGGAAGAGATTAACCAAAGGTTTTATATGCATATTAGAGGCCCAGTACATGAATCCGTGCACCTGTGGGGTCCCTAGGCCTGGCCTGTGGGGATTGGGCCGAATCTGCAGTCTGACATCCCCCGAGGGGTCCCAGATTGCGAGAGGGCACAGGCCAGGCCAAGGGACCCCACTGGTGCACAAATCCGTGCACCAGGCCTCTAGTGCTCTAATTTAAAAAAAAAAAAAAAAAAACTCTTGGCAAAAATATAGTCACTGGGCTGAGTCTAATATGTCATTACCATATAACTTTGCTTGAAGCACAAATAGATTTCATAAAACTTCCCAAGCAGAGATTTTTTCAAAAATTATATCATAAAGGAAGATTTCAAGTAAGTATTTACATAACTATATATACACAACTACATATACATAGTTAAACCATTTCCTACTTAATGAGCTAAGCAATTATATTCTTGGGACAAAATTTTGTTCATCCTCAATGCACTTATTTCTGATGGCCTCAGAAGTGGCAACGCCATACCATATATGTCGCCCTTTCCATGCTCCAATCCCTAGCTCTTGCTATAAGCAATTATCTGTCTAGTTGAAGTAACTAGTAGCTCAATGAAATAACAGGGTAATAAAGAGGAGTGGAATTTTATATCTACAAAGTTCAAATGTGTAAGGACTTCCTTTCACTTATTTATATTCATGAAAGTGTGTCTTAGAACAATAGATCTGGAGGATTATCCTTTTCCTAATGTTTACTCACATCTATATATATATTCCCCAAAGCCCAAAAATTGGAAAATTGGAAAGAATTATAGAAGGATACACTGCATACATTGTTTATTACATTTTTTGTACCTGCCACCCTAAATCAGACTGTAGCAGCTTCTTTTTCTTTACTACCAATAGTTGATTTCTTAGACTTTTATTGCGCCACTAGTATTATTATTATCTCTACTTTAATTTAATTTGCCAATAATTTTGCTAAATAGTCTTCCTCTCCAGCTTCCCAATGGCACAAGGTTTTTAAGTTTTATAGTGGTAAAAGAAAAACTATTTATTGCACTTTGCACAAAAATAATTAGAAATTAGTTTGCTTGCATTCCACTGTTGAGAAGAAAAGCTTGTAAAGAAATTGAAAAAGGAGCTGGCAGCAATAAAATAAGTGACAAAGAGTTCTTCAAATGTAGGGAAGGTTTTAACATGAGTTCATCACCCTAGTACAAATATGAGTTTGCAGAATTAACGTGCCCAGCACCCCATATAAACCATGGTCTGCACTTCAGGGAGATGCAGACAGTGCACTGTGGTGCCTGAGAGGACAGTAGTCGCACCCTTTGTTCAGTTTTCTGCTCATAAATATTGGCTCATTTATTGAAAACACATAAAGACGGTATTATTTTAAAGGGTCATCGGCGGCGCCCGGCCCACACCCACGACACGCTATTTTAAAGGGTCATGTTGTTTTACAAGCTCTAAAGAATTTCAAGTACCTGATACAAGTATGCAATTTGACTCTCACTGGACCTTCACTATTTAATGCAACCTTGTTTGAGTTCAAGCTGAAGTGTGATATGACTTTCAAGCTAACACTGACCTTTGTTTGAAATTGACTTCTTTTGGGTGTCATCCAAAGCTGTAAGACTATAATTAACTTTGCCAGATTTCAAAACTCCTATAACCTTCCATGTACCATGACTTCAGAATACTACTATCCAAGAATGAGTACTTTTCTGCTTTTATAGGAAAAGACCTTAGATCTGTGCTCAGGGTTTATTGTCAAAAAGAAGGGGAGGGGGAAGAAAATACGATTCTATTTATGTTATGATTCTCACTGTAAGTCTTTCAAGACTGACTCTTTCTAGTCAGACCAGAGTTTAAGTCATTGTAATTTACACCAAATGCATTCAGTGTATGTTTTATATCCTGGCATTTGACCCTAGAATCCCCCTCATCTTCTTCCCCTCCATTTTAAGATACATAGAGCAGACCACAAATTTTAAAACAGATGCAAAAATAAATTTTTATGACTCAAAAATCTATATCCTTAACTATGACTTCTTTATTGAGATCCAGATCTATATTTTTAACTGCCTGTAAGAGTGTCCATAGCATGACCTTAAGTAGTTTTAAATATACATCAATGTCCATCACACCATGAACTTGTCTTCCTCCTATGGAAATAGTCTTTTCTGTCTCTACAACCCCGGGATAACCATGCTTCTGTAAATGTGAGATGGGAAAGGAAATGAGAACTAACATTTGTTGAGCCCTTTTAGTCACTTACATGTTAATTCATTTTACAAATATTTTATCATGCACCTGCTATATGCCAACCTCTGTTCTAGACAAGTAGGACACCTGATGGGCAATACAGACAATGCAGAATAAGTTACAGATATTGAACAAGTAATTACACCTAAAATCATTTCTTTTCATATGTGATGAATGCTATGAAAGAAAACTACAATGAGCAAAGAGAACATGTAACCTGATTATCTAAATTAGTCTGGTCTTCTGACAAATTTCAAAGAGAATGTGGGGGTGGGAGGGTACTTATATGCATAGCCCATGGACAAAGACAATAGTGTGGTGAAAGCCTGGGGGAGGTAGGTGCAGGGTGGATCGGGTCAACAGGGGAAAAACGGGACATCTGTAATACCTTCAACAATAAAATAAATTTAAAAAAAAAACAGTCCAGTCTTCAAAGTCTTCTGAGAAAATGACATTTATGCTTAAAACCTGAAAGATGAATTATAACAATCTAGGCAGGAACAATACCTTAATATGTAAGATATCTGAGAAGTTCATAAAGGAGAATGAGAAAGAGCATCCAATGACAGGGAGTCAAAAAGCTGAAAGAAGAGGGTGTTCCAAAAAAATGGAAAGCAGTCCTCTGTCAAAAGAACCTCCAAGCTCAACTGAGTTAAGAGA